AAGGAATTCCAGAATGTTACATTACATTGGCTAAACGATGCATGGATTCAGATCCAAAAAAACGACCAATAGCTACCGTCATTAATTCAAGAATTGTTTATTGGATTGACGAGATGGAACAAGATAATGATAATGAAATTAAATGTCAATTCACAGACGCTGATAAGATCAATCTAAAGCCGATTGAACCGGAGCATCCTTCATGCATGTATACAAGTAAACTAATTAACACGCAAGAAGTATCAAATAAATTAAGTTTTGTGATTCCTGATGATATTTAACCCATTAGCATTTTTTCATCGGTAAATCTTGTGTCATTTCCGTATGCAGTAGTATTTTGCTTTGTGCACTGCTGCCCAAATTTTTTTTATTGCATGATATTCGGGTTGAATTTATACTTTTTTTTTTTTGATCAAATTAGGCTTCCTAAAATTAGATTTTTTACGCATAATACGTATCAAAATTCTATTCATACAATCTTATTACAATATAAGCTCTTTTGTGTTTTCAATTGATCTTGAAGGCAAAATTAGTGGTTACTGTTAATGTAGTAAACAGACTAAATAATGAAAATCATTTACGTTAATTATGGAATATAGCACTTAAAGCTCAAAACTCGCATATTCCTGTATTTCATAAAAAACAATATCCCGAACGTAACTTTATTCGTGAAATTTCAAGAAAATTTTATCGTGTTAATAATAATGATGGCGATCTTTAATTAGAAGCTTTATGTAATATTACATATCGCTCTCACAATATTATCAAGATTTTACTTTGTAATAATTTTTAAATATTTATTAACTTTACATTTATTACTTTTCTCATTACTTTATTAATACGTAATTTTAAACAATTCTGTCGCAACATACAATAATGTTGGTTCTTATTATAAGTATTATAATGTCTATAACTTTATTTTTTTATACAATGTAATCTTGTAACCTATTATCACTTAATTCCATTATTACATGTATTTTAAAGCTACGTAGGCGTCGCCGCACTTTAGAGTAGTTATACAAGGGCATACTTGTTCTTTGTCTTTTCAGATCAGTTTCTGTATTCTTTTTTATTAGATAAACCGCTTGTAATTTTATATATCTGCTAGACGTTTTGTAATAAAACAACACTCCTGCAACCACAAAAATAAACACTCCATTACCAAATATGTAGGCTAGGCACTAGAAAAAGGGACCAAATCAACAATTTTTTCAAAAAAAATTTTTTTGAGCCTAACTAATTAAATATTAACACATTAACAGTTTTCATTTTTGAAAAATATCCCCGGTACTCAAGTAGTAATTTATTACGTTCATGATCCGAATCAATGATCATATTATACGACCAACTCACATGGTCAATTTACTCTCTTCAGTATACTTTCACACAGTATCCCGGGGTATTATTTAATTTCTTGTAAAAAAACCGTGGATACTATATGCAACACTGTACGGTAACCCATGTATGCATTCACTTAAAATAAAATTTTCCAATCAGTTAGCTTTGATGCACGTACGTATGTACGTCATATTTAATCTTTCATTTAATTAACGGTAATACAAAAGAGTAAAACCATAAAATAAACTGGAGATAATCCAATAATACATATGCTATTTATTAATACTTGTGAGAATTTGACATTTGTAAAATTCTACCATAGTGACATTAATCCTACATTAAGAAGTTCTACTATTATTTTTCAATAGTAAGAGACGCATCCGATTTAGCATGAAGTATCAATATAGAATTGAAGAAATTTTTCTAAGTTATCGAGTCGTTTTAATATTGAAGCATTTCCATGTTCTTTGATACCAGATTTTTCTTCGGTATCAAGTTCGTCGGATGGTGAATCCACCGTACATGGTAAGAGGTTTTTTTCATATTGATTTCTGAATGGTTTCAATTTTTGTACAAAACCCCAAACCTAGTTATAATTAAAATTTTGATCTCCCAGGTCAGCAGAAATAATGAAATATCCTTCCAGTAGATGTGTGGAGCACTATACGCCTATACGTCTGCTGTTAGGGAGATATTTCAATTATTTCCTCGACACAGTGGAACAAATGTGTTGTCTATCATTTCATATGACATGATGAGGACTCGCGTTTCTAAACATTTCATCAATGACATTTCTTTGTCATTCGATTTGATTTACAGTACATCATTCAAGGAGACAACTACCGTAGAGCACTGCCAAAAGACCCCCCTTTTTGAGTACCCCATGCAAAATACTCTGGCGCAAAACATGAGATCTCTATTAATTAAATAAAGGTTTTTTAAAATTCTAAACAGCTTATTGTAAATACGGAATATGTATATACTTGAAAATTTTCTTTCCTTGCGACACAGATCTGCTGCAGTATAATACACCCGCGTCTTTTGTAAGTTTTTTGATGGATATTTTGTATTAGGCCCGGGTCTTTTGGGCAATGCTCTACGGTAATAAGAAGATTGTTACCGTAAATTTCCTAAATAACGTGCATAGGTGT